ACTCTCCGCATTTATGTGCAACATCTGAACACGACGTCATTTTCAAATCGAATTCCAAAGCTTCCTGGAGCCTTGATTTCTAGTAGTATGCTGTCGTCCGGTCCGCGAATGTCGCAACTCTGGCTCACCTCCACCGAGGCATTGCATCAAGCACTCCCAGCGTTGCGACCACGGACCGCACCTATCTCAAGCCAGCACAATTATGGTGGACGGTGTGAAGGGGAACTCGGGGCAAGTATAACCTTATGAGACCCCCCGACCATGAATTGTCCACTGTACGATCGTCGAACGAGTAAGTATCGATGACGAAGAACGTCCGGAGCCGTCGGATCTCGATGCAGCCCGATCACGCGAACATGATTGCAGTTCACTGGTGCTTGTGGCCAGCGTTCGTGGTACTGTACTGTGTAGTTAGTTCATAAAGGGTCGGCGAGGGTTGGGCCTTCCCGCGTCCAGGACTCCAGAAGCGAATTCGCTCTGGACACTTGCAAGGTAAGCTACAGTAACTGGAATTCTTTTGGGGATTCGGAATATATCCAAATATATTGAGAAGATGAGATTCCTTCAATTTCAAAGGTCCGTGAGGAAAACTTTCCGCACTTTTGAGAAATTCTTTCTACTGGACTCGCTTAGTGGGTAGGTTTTTGCATCCAGATATTTACAAGAAATCTATTGGACGGACAGAAACTTCAGAATCCATGTAAACGTCATCATGTACTAAAATACTTAATTTGGACGGGAGCGGGAGGTATTATTTTTCGTATTGAATAGTGATATAGTTTTCCAAACATTCTCTTGGTTCAGATAACTCTGCTTTCTATGCCAAGAATTATCAATATTTTCGAAAGGAGCATTGCATAACATACCATGCTGAGTAAACCTCAACTTTAACTTTGAAACTGAAATTGCATAAATTTGTGACTCAATTACCTAGTACCGTATGTAAATGAGAAATCACATTCAAACAAGAAAACTGATGCATACTACTTTGTTTTGTTCATTTTGCATATATTGATCCACTTGAGGAAGAGCTTAGCATCTTATTCAGCTCATACATGTCTTCTGAAACTAAACTCCATATACAAACGGAGACCAAGTAATGCTTTTTTACTCACTACCCAGTTATTTTTTTGGGTTCTATTATGATTCACTTTATATATGAAATGATGAACCAAAAATATAAATATATATAAAAAGAATATCATGGTAAAATTTTTGTAACTTGTCGCCAAATTTTTGCTCACATTATACACTGAAATTATTTTGATTCCATCATGTAAGATTAAAGAGAAAATTACGAAGCATAAAAATATAATATTGATCATTTTTTTGTATATGGCTATTATTTATAGGGTTTTTTTTTAATTGAGTCACTTTTAAAATAAATTTGATATAACAGATTTAAGAATAATACAATGAAATAATAAATTTAATTTAAAAATAAAAAATTTTATCGCTATTCTCATTGAGTTTGTATAAACTTTTCTTAATTTAATTTTTTTGAAACATTTTTCAAAGATATCTGATTTATTCAAATTGATCACATCCAACGCACGAGAAAAAAAATCATAGCTTAGCAATAAAATGTGATGTGCTATTCAACAATCATGATAAAAAAAAATTCTTGTATTAACTTTTTTAATTAAAGCATGTTGTTAAAATGAATTGTACAATTTTCTTCAAACTACATATTGAGTTTATTGTGAATAACGTAAATCATCCGACAAAATAAAAATGTAAAATTCAATCAGAAGCTTCACTTTAAAGATATGATACACTATTTGTCAAAGTATCATTTATGTGGTTTAATAGTTATATTTTAAGCTTTAAAAAATGTATGTCAAACAACACATATATACTACAATTTTGAAGTGAATCCAGCTTAGAAAAATTAAAAATAGTAACTTAATTAGATCTTGCTCAATAAATTGCAAGCTTAAAACATGTATTTATATGGGTTTAAAGAAATTACGAATCTAAAACAAGTTGTATTTCATATCAAATGTTCTGTTTTCAAATCATGTATTTAATTTTAAAGATTTCACCAGATGTATAAAGACAAACATGTCTCACGGTCTTACACAATATTGTTAGAAATAAATTCTAGATAATCGTTCAAAATTTACATGTCAATGTGGCATAAATAAATATCTGCATGTTTTTTAAAATCAATGAAAAAGTAGGCTGCTTGATTTATTGAATTCATTATTATTGATCAATGTAGCACTTGAGCTAAATGACATTTACATAAATAAATTCTTAAAAAAAAACAAAGGTCTTTTGATTTCATTCACGTACCCACATCGTTAATATTTGATTCAAATGATGTGTATCTAATTTGAATGCAAGATATAACTATATCAATTATTTTTCTTCAAATTATACAATTATATAGCTTTGACATAAGTATGTGCTATTTGTTACAACCTGCAATGATGAAAATATCACATGCAGATATATTTGGGAATCAACTCAAGTTCAAATTCTACCTTCAAATTATTTTGAACTTATTATTATACATGAATGAGAATTTGATTTTCTTGAAGTAAATTAGAATATAAAAATCTGCTAATTTTTTGTATAAAATCAAACGTGATGATTATTGATCATAAATATAATTCTAATAGAGTAAACGAGTATAGATTTTTTTAAATCTCTGAGTACATCTAGATTTATAGAATAATTGAAATTATAGAAAGTTAAATCTTTTGATCATTATATAGGAGTAATTGGATAGATGTAAGTTTATATTCGGCCCAAAAAAGCGCTACGCGCGTAGCGCCGCGCCTTCCTTCTAGGTGCCCACCGGGCAACTGGCAGACTAGGCCAGCCCAGCTATCTGAACTCGGAAAGTACCCATGGCGTTTCGCCTTTGAAAGCGTCCATCCTTCTCGATGCCTAGGCATCCATCCAATGCATTATTTTTGATACAGTAGGAATTAAACCTACTTCACAGCCAACTAGTCATATCACTTGGATACTCCAGGAATTTCACCTGCTTGAATATATTTTTGGAGGATTATTTGAGAGTGTTAGACGTAAAATGGTATGAGATATGATTAGATGGGATTATTAATTTAGTGTATTTTGCAACATTATTTCTACTGTAGTTTAAAAAATACATACTGTTGTTATTACTAAAAAGTCTTCTTAATTTTGTTTAAGTATCAGGAGAGGGCTAGTTATTACTCACCTTAGTATACACGATTGGTCATACATCCAACCCTGATTGCTAATCATCCAAGTAACCTATAACCTTGAAACTACCAATTAGAGAAAGTAATGGAGTAAAGTTACGGGTAATTAACCATAAGTGAGAGATAACTAACTGCTCCCAAATATTATGTGTGTACTATAAAACATATAGTACATACATGTCATTATGATACTATTAAAATCTTAATATAATATAGTGCATGTAAAAGTTGACTAGATGTTTGAGGTTTTTGTTCACTTAAGAACATTTTATCAATGTCAAAGCTAATTTTTCATGGCAAAAATATGCATTTTTGTTTTAAAGCAAGACTATATATTTAAGAATTCAAGTAGATTACAATATTATTATTTATTGATTCTAATGGTCCATTCTAATGATGAAATATTCTTGCACTGATGATCTTTGATTTTTTCGACCGTTTTAAAAGGGGAGATCAATCATGCCAAAATAGAAAACACAGGATTTTAACACATACCATGCTGAAAACAATGCTGTTACATGTTACCTTTATGCTGAAAAACTTAAAGGCTATGTTACCAACATCAAATTCATACAATATTCAATCGTTCGTGGCATTTGGGCCCGTTTTACCGGTTAAAAGCGTATTTTTGATGTGAGGATAAAGCTTTCTAATTGTTCTCTCATTTATTGATTATTTCGAATGTAGTTTGTGGGAATTTTAGGCATGGACGCGGAGTAGAGAACAATTTCCACGGCTGCCGTTGAATTATTTTAGCTGTGAAAACTAGCAAATAAAGTCGATGGAGGTCGAAAACGGCACTTGTCGTTTTAGTCCCCCATTTATTATGCAGTGGAGTCTCGCCCGCCACTCAGGTTCTCCGAGCCTTCACATCTCTTATTATCCAGGGAGAATCTGAAAGCAGGCAAGGAATTATCAGAACCGAGACACATCAACTCTTAATTCTCGAATCTTTGGGCCTAACATGTGATACTGTACCCGGTCATTGGAATCAGCCTTCCTTCTTTATCAGTCGGGAAGACGTTTTCGTGGTTGGGTAAACCGAAAGATCAAGTTTTAATCGGGGAAAATTGGATTCTAAATATACTTTCCTCCAGAGGTCAATTAATGGCTACGATCATATACGACGGGGGCATTAAAATCTTCTTTTGTAACTGCCAACATTTTCGACAATTTACACATATGTCTTGTGAAATTGCAATAGACTGGCTGCATGCTGTTTAATATAGTCTCAGAAGGCATGGTGAAAATCCGACGGCACTTCAGGCTGAAGTGACATTACGCAGTAGAAAGCGGAAGGCGAAGCATCATCATTCGCATTGACAGGGTCGATTCAAGGAACCTGCAAGATGCATGCACATGGACGTCATGCGAGGAGACCCCAGCAGGTAGACTGGCCCTCGACTTAATATGGTACACGGTCAACCGAATCCACCATTTCCACTGCCGCTGCCACAGTCACTGACCCTGTAGAGATCGTGAACTTTCTACAGCAACGCAGTACTGCAGTCTTGTTTCCCAACTGCAATGCTCGGTCACTGTGGTCACGCTGGGGCCTTCCATCTCCTGTGTATGATAGAGGGTAATTTTAGCTCCACCCATTCTTGTACTCTTCTGGAGCCATGATTGGCGATTACGTCATGGATTTTGTTGGATCCGGCCCGTCGAGAATCGCCCACCACGGACCAGTCCATGCGCGGGCGGGATGGGGGCGAGAAGGCGGGCCGGAGCGTAACCACAGTGAAGAATTAGATCACAATTTAAAGTGACCGAGTTGGGAGCTAAACTTAGGAGCGAAAACTAAACAGGCGGACTCAGTACTAATCACTCTGCTACCTACGGGACTATAGAGTAAAGAATGATGTTATCATTTCGCGAAGGTCGAGGCTAAAGATATAAAGTCCGCGGCTCGATCGAAGCTCCTCAATCGACGACATACTGTCGAGGGACGGTCGGCACAAGAAGAGATTAGGAAGCGCAGGTAGCAGTAAAATTGTGCGCCCTCGGTCTTGTGCACGATCGTCTGTGCAGCGGATGCCATCTCGTCGTGGGATTGCTGCACGGCCAGAACTTGTGTTTGTATGTGTATGAGAGCAAGAATTTGTTCACCGGGACGAAGCCGTGAACAATAGCAGCAGCAGAAGCGAGCGAGGAGCGAGCGACAACAGCTGCTAGCTAGCTATCGAGGATAGGAACTAGGAGCTCGTGAGATTGGTGCGGCAAGATGGCGAAGCATTCCTTGAAACAGCCGCTGTTGGACAAGGAAGATCAGCCTCCGGTCTTGCCTCCTTCGTCTTACAATGGATCCGAATCTCAGGGACTCGCCGAGGAACCGAAGGGGGAATTTAAGACATGGCTGGTAGAGGAGCTGACGCACCAGTTTTGGCTCGCGGGACCTATGATTCTCGTCAACTTACTCCAATATTTACTCAACGTGGTATCGGTGATGTTCGTCGGCCATCTGGGAGAGCTCGCGTTGGCCAGCTCCTCCATCGCGACATCCCTCGCAGGAGTTACAGGATACCACGTCATGGTGAGTTTCTCCCACGCACAAAGTAGTTTGCTTCTTATTACACGACTCTCGAATGTGACCAGGCAGTCCGACTCGCATGAGTGGTCAGAGCTCCCAATATCAGACCCTGTAATCGAAATTTATTTTGATGCCCCGTAGCCAAACTGCTATCGAGCCTTGAAGCTTATGCTGAAGGGCCTCACTACCGTGATCCTCCCTCCCTATTCTGGATCCAATCAGGAGCTTTTAATCGCCATTTTCGTCTGTCACGTGAAGATTGATGTTTACCCGTTCATCTGAAGTGTATTGTTTTCAAACTTCGCCCACGCAGTGCCCCTAGTCTGCCTGCAAACCGACCGAACATGTCAATTCTCTCACCGAGCAAGAGTTTTATCGATGTAATCATGCCCTACGTTTGTCTGTTCCTGCTAACCAGCCGCCGTCGTTTCTTGTTAGAGAAAGTCAAACCTCAGTGATAACTAATACATGACACCGAGATTGATGGCTCGTGTCGATGACGGGAACTTCTTATGGATCATGAGAGCCGACTCCGCTCATGCTTCGTAGAGCTTAGCTCGCGACACCACCCTCCCATGGCGGTGTCGCAACGGAATCGAGCTGCATAGACTGAGAGATGGCGAATCGGTTTGAGCGAACTTCAGCGGGAGATTGTAGCTCAGATGGTAGGGCTCTGGTCTAGTTTACAGGATATAACGATAATCTGCCGATCGTCCAAGCTTCTTATGCCTACGATCTAAGCGGGTTACTTGTGGACTCCGATGTGATATTGTACGACAATCGCGAGGGAGTGGCTAGAACAGGATCGTACAGTTCACGCGGAGCCCAAGGCCGATAGTCAGGGTGGAGCTGAGAATCGGAAGCTAGTCGCTGCCTTTGTTCCTAATAGAGAGAATTATTTGCAGTTGGTGAGTCCTAGCTCAGAGCGGGGATGAGGAAGGCAGGCAGGCAGGCTCTTACGTGGGATTTGACACTTTTGTTTCTCTGCTGCAGATGGGATTGGCTTCAGCACTCGAAACGTTGTGCGGCCAAGCCTTCGGAGCGAAAGAGTATCGATTAAGCGGAATATTTCTGCAAAGAGCAATTTTCGTGCTCACTCTTTGCGCCTTTCCAATCTCCTTCGTCTGGTGGCACATGGGGACAATCTTGAAATTTATCGGCCAGGACCCCTCCATTTCAGACGGTGCCATGGAGTACGCGAGGTTCCTTATACCCTCTTTATTCGCCTACGCGTTTCTGCAGCCGCTGGTCAAGTTTCTTCAAACCCAGAGCGCAGTGAACTCGATGGCCGTATTTTCGGGAATTACATTATTATTTCACGCTCCCCTCTGCTACATGCTCGTGTTCTACTTCGGAATCGGATTCCGCGGAGCCGCAATCGCTAACTCTATCTCGCAGTGGATTAACGTGATCTTCCTAGCACTCTACGTCAGGTTCTCTCCGACCTGCAAAAGAACATGGACAGGTTTCTCCCGCGAAGCACTCCATGATATCTTCTACTTCCTCAAGCTCGCGGTACCATCCACAGTCATGGTCTGGTATGTGTTCTAAACATCGAATCTTCTCCTTCACTTTTATCTAGCGCCTTCAGGCGACCTGCACTTGCACCAAACGTCATACACCGGCGGCAGACCTATGTAAATCCATGATATGAATGCGAGACGATGGATTTTTGTGGCCGTGTTTGGAGACTGTGCCATGACAGTTTGGATGGATGCGCAGCAAATGCCACGCGCCCCTTAGTATGTTCCCGACATGCTGGCCTGACTCTAGAATTGGTTCGTGGCTGTCCATGTTTGCAGTTTGGAGTACTGGTGCTTCGAGTCCATCGTGCTTCTCTCCGGGCTGCTTCCAAACCCGAAGCTGGAGACATCTGCTCTTGCGATCTGGTACGTTTCAGTGTGCGAAGGAAACCGAGTCACACGTTCTACCCTCCTACTGAGATTATTTCAGTAGTGTAAAACCCCGCGCAGAGCGGTATTTTTTTTCCTCGACGATTTGTTTTTTGCTGCAAAGGGATGGGATGGGATGTCACCGCGTGTACGTGGGGGTTTTGTATATTTCGTATGAGTGCGAAGCTTGTCATGCCAGCTGTGAAGGTCCAATATTGACTTATGAGTGTATTTCTCGTGCAGCCTGAACACCATAGCGCTCATGTACATGGTACCCTTCGGTCTCAGTGCCGCTGTGAGGTAAGCTCGATGCAAGCCCAGCACAGTGACATTGTGCAGTGTTTTCGATTCCTTCAGCTTTGACGAGGCCGATGTGGGTAGAGAGAATTTGGAGACAGACCGTGTAATTGCAATCGCCTCCCCTCTAATGTCCTGTCGTCTTCGAATGTTTCAGCACGAGGGTGTCTAACGAGCTAGGAGCCGGCCGACCCTACGCTGCGAAGGCAGCAGTGAAGTTGACAGTTTCCTTGGCCCTTCTGGAAGGATGTCTCATGTCCATCCTTCTCATCTCCGTCCGCGGCGTGTGGCCCTACCTCTACAGTGGTGATGCGGAGGTTGTGAATTACGTCTCGAAGATGGTTCCGTTTTTGGCAACACTGGCAATTTTGGACGGTTTCCAAGGAACTTTGTGCGGTGCGTGCTCATCGAGTGCTTAAACCCTCGATTCGTTCAACAGTTTGTTTCTGCTGCAGACGGCGAGAGTTCAAGGACCTTGATTCAGCAATCTAACGTTGTCCGGGCGCTTTGTCTCCGTGCAGGTGTAGCAAGAGGCTGTGGATGGCAACACCTCGGCGCCTACACGAATCTGGGCGCATTCTACGTGATCGGCATTCCCACTGCCCTGCTGATGGCCTTCCACTTCCACCTCAATGGCTACGTAAGTTCCCAACCTCTGTTCTCTAAGTACAGTGTGCACGTCCACACTCGCCCAGCATCTTAGACGGCATCATATCCGCGCTCCTCCGTGGGAGGAATGAGATTTGCACACTTGTTTTCCCTCGCACCCAGATACCCTCGCGGATGGATTAACGAAGAATCTGCGAAACAGACAGATTACTCGCGAAGCGCGCAGATTCTCGCATCAAATTTGTCGCTGGTGCGGTGAAACGCGGAGACAAGGTTGTTGAGGGCAGGAAGAAGGTGTTAATGTACTGCATGCGTTTGGCTGTGCAGGGATTGTGGATCGGAATCATTTGCGGTCTCGTGACACAGGCCTTCCTTCTAGCCGTCATCACTCTAACCCTAAACTGGCAAAAGCTCGCCGACGAGGCGACGGATCGCGTACACCATAGTTACGTCGAGGGAGATGTGCTGCCCAAACACGGCCAGGTGAGAGCCAACTCTGACACGAGGCCGGAGTAGGGAATAGTTCTCGCACGTGATGCTTGCTGCGAATGCTGTTTATGAGCCAGCCGACCTCATGGCGAGGTCGAGATTGGAGACTCCACCAGACGCCACGCGCATGTTATTAACTACGTCTGGATCTCGTTTGGATGCAGAAAGTGGACCATTCGCAGCTGACGCAGTGATTAGAGGCCAGACGCACACACCAACTCCACCATCAAAGTGACGGAGGAATCCGCAGCGCACCCTTAGCTCTGCCATAGCTCGCCACATTGGCGAGTGTTAGTTTAACATCCTGTACCAGTAAAGTTACGAGCGTGATGTAGACGAGTCCGACGATGGAACCGTGGCTCTCACTGAAGTCATCAAAATTTTCTGCACTCTTCGGCGCACTTCACACGTTTCTGTCGAGTTTCTGGTGAGGGCACGAAGCCAACGGACGGAGATCTCGGCGTTCTCGAGAGAGTTGTCCCGACTGCATGCTTTGGAAGCCGACGTGGAGCCGAGCGAGTTGACGATGTGCACGCTCGCTATAGTCATGACGGCTCGCAATCCTGCTCTGTAACATTCCGTTTCCCGATGTTTCTTTGGCGTCGATTTCATCAATGTGACAGCGAAACTCAGAGGAAAGATGTGATTTTTTTGGAATCTGACAGAGTGGTAGAGAGCTTGTTACACTTCAAGGGGAAAGAAAAGATTTTTCACAATGATGTAACCCAATATTTTATATATCTAAAACTGAGCATCTTTCAGTTTCACTCTCTTTCTGAGTTTCGGATCTCTTGGATCTGTCTTCCCAGATGACCGTCTCCCACTCTTCCTTCGCCTGGTGCTCTATGTTGTGAAATTGAATACTGATTTTGAAAAATATACTTTTTTGTCGCAAGAAGGATTTGTCTTTCACGAAAAAACTACTCGGTACTAATTTACTAATTACTTCCAACAAAAAAATTACTGACTACTTGAATAATCCATGATAATTGTTACAACCTGCACCAGAAGATACGGTAGGTAGACACAAATCGCATCTACCATATATCTCGCATCTATCTATCATCTCGGAAAAAGTTAGAGACATAACTATGAAGATCTGCCCCTGCATGTAGTGTGGAAACTCAGAATATATAAACAGGTGAAATATGAAGAAAAAATCGTACCCTTCAATGAAAGTAACTTTGTGCGTGCATCATATTCCATTTAGCAGAGCTGCCGAGCGAAGATCATTCTTTCCGTGAATAAAGTACTTGTTATCCTCAATATGAAAATACCCGAGAACTTCACATAACAACTTTGTAAAGTACAGAACATATCTCGTAGACAATTCAAAAAATCGACAATAATGATCGTTTGATTTGTCCTCTATTCGAGAAATTGCCCTTCTCGGGTAAAATCAATGAAAATAAAGATAAAAAATTGAAAATGCGGTTAAAAACTAATTTACGTTAACTCAATCGTTCGAAACATAAAACCGAAAGTAAAATTATAGTTTAATTCATTCATTAATAATTCAAATCGTTGAGCGTATTTGATGAAATTATTGCAAATCAAACTAATATATCTGTGATGAACATATGATAATTTCTATGGCAAATGTTTAATTATTATGAAAAATACTTTGAAAACTCATTTCCATGTGCAGTAAGTGTGCGAATAAAACTGACGCTCTAGAAACTGCCCTTTCATTCAATCTTGTGTCATATATGAGCAAGCATGTCTCCTCAATGATGATAATTTTACCCAACAAAATATTCAGCATGGATTAAGAATAAACCCCTATCGTCCATCACTTTCTTTCGAAAAGAAAACTCACGCATAGTTAATATACATACAAAAGTTCTTATGATGAAACTGTAAAGATTTCTTAAATCACAAAATTATAAATGAAAAGAATATAAAAAATGTCGTCACAACATTGTTCTCAGATTGAAATCTTTATGTTCAATTTTTTCAGATTACTCCGAACCAAGTTACGTTTTCTTAGAGGAATCTCTTTAAGAATATCTTCGAGTACTACTTTCAAAACATCCTTAGCCAAAAAGTCATATTGAACCATTCCTTCTCTTTTCATTATAAAGTTACGCAAATTTTCAAAAGAAGTAATCAGAAAGAAATCATTTGCTAAAATAAAGCTTGTCCTTTTCAACTTTTTCATCTAGGTTAAAAATTCAAGGCCTAAAGTATTATTTGAGAATCTGTGATGACCCCAACATCCGACTTGATATCATGAATGAAATTACTTCGGTTAACAAAATGTATGGCTTACACGTGGTGGATCAAAAATTTTAAACTTACTTGTTATGAAATATACATGGTATATATTTTTTTATATATTTAAAAAAAATAAAAATATTATATAAATAATAGTAGAATAATTAAATATTATGTATGACTTTGGTTTGACAATACAAATTAATTGTCAAACCAAAGTCATTCACAAAGGTAACCTGATGATAAATAAATAAAAAGATTCAATATTTCTTCTTGATTGGGATGCAAGAAAATATTTAAACTACTAAATTACGACTTTTCATATTAAATATATGTAAGAAATCTCAAAATTAGGATAAGAGTGATTCTCCAAATAAACCTGGAGCCGTTTTGAGTGTTTAATATTCGAAATTTTAATGGCAAAATCTGAAGATTCCTTATCAAAGTCTTACAAGTATGAAAAAATTAGCTATCATGGGCTAGGTCCAAGAGCATCATAATAATGATGATATCATAGGGCACAAAGTGAGTTGTAATTATAGTGATAAAACAATTTAGAGACTATAACATATTTCAGATAAGCATAAGCTGATGTAATTGCTCCCATAAAAATTGCATCAACTGTTGCTCTTTATGAAAACATGGATATGAAGGACTGTTAGTAATAAATTAAATAAATTAGACAAGAATGATCCTTGTTGACTGAATGTGATAAATTTTAACATAAACTTTCTGGATCTAGTTTATCTTAGCTTCATAAACTTCAAAAGCTAGGTGACCGGAGAGGTGATTTTTTTTTATTGTACTTTTACCTAATCGATATTTCATCCGACTCATTTGATCTGGTTATCACGCAGATCTCTAGACGAGAACCATGACGTGGAATGAAATCGGAAGTAGCACAAAGATATACATGTTTTTGTGTAGTACTGCATCATATGTCTACTTAGACCTCCAAAACCACTACAAGAGACATTGTGGAAAACGAGTTGGTTGTAAGCATTCGGAGTACCTGTAGCAGAAGTGAGGGTATGGAGAATTGTGACGATTGAAATCAATGGTGGTGCCCTACCTCATGTGATCTCGGTTTGAGTTCCAGCGAAGTTCTTTCCTGCATGGGGTCGGGCCTAGAGCGGAGTTGTCATGAGAAACGACAATGGATAGAATAACAACAAATTTTTCATCCTCGAGCGCATCATTATCACAATTAACACTTCACTTCTAGTAGCCCCCGGAAACACACAGTTGTACACCTAGAGATGTGTCGTTTGGGACCTCGTTCGACTTCCCACTGACTTGTACATGGCGGGATGAGACTGAGGTCCTTATCCAACCTCCCTATAGTACGAAGTCAAATATCTAGCAATGAAGCAATCAAGCCATCAAGCAGCGTGATATAGTCTGACCAGCCAATTTTCTCCACTCTCAGTCTATAAGAGTACCTGCCAACGCGTCGAGTGGTGTAGTTTTCCCTGATCCTCAAGGGCCACATAAGCTAGAATCTTGCCTAGACGCCATGCGCATTTAAATCGTGCAGAGCCTGGTGGTGACAGTGGAAGGTCACAGAAAGGTCCAAATGATTCTTACCTTATTGGGCACTTGTAGTGAAGCCGTGTTCTGATCGTGTAAGCATAGCTTGAAAATCTTCTAGAGGGCAAAAATTGCCTCTGTTCCATTGTCAGGGAGCTCGCTAGTTTCTGATACGTATTTTTTTTTATGAGTCACTGATACAGAATGGCAGTGCAATGTTGAGCCTGTTCGGATTCGAGATTGATTTATAACGTTGCAAAATCACAACGTCGTGATCTTGAGTGCTAGCCTTACCCATAGACCAAACGAGCTTCGAGTGTAATCAGTATCTTTTGCCAGACTTCAAAAGTTTGATGAGCACTCTAGAACTATAGATGATGTTTCTACTCCTTCAATACAAGACTAGCTCTGCTGTCTCTCCTTCCTGTTCGCGTAATCCACTAGCTTGTAAGGGGCTCTTTACTCTCAGTAAGGATAATAGAAAAGTATAGTTATATATTTTTTGAATCTCGATGACTCGTGATGACTTTATATTTTCACCTCCGATTTTATATATTTAATATGTCTTGACCCTATTTAAGTTATTTGTGTAGGAAACAAATTGTGTCTGGAAGTGATCTATTTCGACAGCAAGGTTCGGCCTTCTACCATTTCTGCATAATGCCAAGTGTGTATCATGGAACATGTCTATTTCTGTTTCCCAGTTTTCTGAACAGTTTTGACCTGCAGAGGATTCTTCTTAGTCTGCAAGCTGATTGATGACGTTCTTGACTTTCGTCATCAAAGACGCTTTGCTGACATCTTCCAACTTCAACTTGGAGAACTCTTGTCGAGCAGGAAGGCATCGAGCATTGTTTGCGAGTTTTAACGAGCTCCTAAATACGCTCCAGCTGCCACAGCATCAGCAAAACTTCAACTGAAATTCTGTAAACTCACCAGTTCTCGTTCTTGAGTTTTCTTCATCGTGGGAGTAACTTGAAGCCAAGCTTCTTGTTCGCTCATTTACAGGGACAAAACAGAGTGCATGGGAAGGGGAGTGGTGACAAATCATTGTGATTGCGAAGCTTACTATCCCCATTAGTGATAAACAAAATCCAGGCACTTGGACACCATACGATCGCTGTTCAATGTGTCACTTGATTGTGAATATCTGTTTGTTCGAGGGAGCCTGTAACTGCTGGAGCAAGGTTTCAAGCTTCACGAAGTTGTACAGACAATCGAGGTTGCCATCACGAGGACTGAGTTGATCTTGGCTGCACAGTTGCATGTCTCGACGTCTGACGAACTTCGCCCGAGACTGCCCGAGGCGTCTCGGGATTTCGTTTTCTCCTCTTTTTGTGTCGACGAATACTTCGAGCTAGAGCTTCACTTTGTGTTACAAGCCTTTCATCACCAATATTTGCCTGCAGTAGAGAGAACTGTATCCCGAGTCCATCATCCAGAAAGTGTTATCTCTTGCAGTCGGGGACTCTTTTGTGACAGGTTTCAGAAGAGCACGAACTTCTTAACGACGGGGTTCATTTCTTTGTGTTAAACCTCTTAAGAGCAAACGGGAATGACTAAGTATACGACTGCAAATAATATCGCAATCAAGCGACAAGAGCTGCAAGATGGAATCACACACAATTTCCATAGGTGAACTATCGATAAGATAGGAATTAACAGAAATAGAATACATAAAATGTTATATCTAAAATGTGCATGAAGTACGAAAAGCATTACATTAACGAAGAATGCACATGGACAACAGTAGGGATGTGAAAGTAGAATATAAGAGACAATTGGCGCAAACATTGCAACAAAGTAAGAAGTAAATTAGACCTTCTTTAATGGATGCAACGTAATGACTAGGTACCAATAGCATCACATGGAACCATTTCACGGTGTAACTAAGATATTCTTATTATCTAGGTTCAAACGGTAAACAACCAATATTAGCATTTGAAGAAGGATAATGTAACACGTTAGCTCTCCAATAGATAGCACTCAGCCAGAAAAATACGTCAAATTATTTATACATAACTTGATACATGATTATAACGCTAGATAGTCAAAGCGGTGATCACTTTGCGAACCCATAGATTTAGTACCGGTTGTTGAATTTGCTCCATACATCGCCCATCTTATGAACTTCTCAGCTTTAAAATAAGTGCCTTGTCAGATCACAATAATCATATCAGCAACTGTAACATGATTGTCTCATACAAATTATATGTATATACTAATTTTTTCAATTGCAAAGCAGACCAACACTCCTCTATGTGAGATATGAAACAAAAGGTTTACAGATATAGTCTTTTGTGCCATTGTATACATTACAAATTAAAATTAATATCGTGAATAGTCATGTGTTTTGTATTGACAGACAACAACTTACATGGACATATGTTGCATTTAGTTGATTGATGTATTCACATGTGAGTAATAAATTGGAAGAAGATGGATTAAGTAAAAGAAAGCCCCACTATAATATAAATCTAGTCAAACTAGTTTGAATACTGCAGGCATATTGTGCACCCGATCCATCTGCCTAAATGGTTAACATCGTATAACACGGTACCTCCAATCCTTGTGCATGTAAAAGATTCTTAACACATGATCAAACACTTATGCATAAGCAAGTACTCTATTTGGAAAAAAGAACTAACAAAAACTTATTGCATAAAAAATAACTGGATTATAATTCTACGTTCTCTGTCATATATTTTTGCCACTTTTTCAAAGAAATCTAATTCTATGATATCTTCAAAATGATCATGATTAATCTATCAAGTGTGATATAAATGCATGTAAACATGCAATCATGCCAAAAATTTATTAGGATCAACAAACGTACTGGAGGAAAGTTTTCTAAAGGCAATAATAAGGTCATCTAGTAGAAAACATTGTCAACCAAAAATACGAAGATTGCAAGTACAACATTAGTTACCTGGACACAAACTTATTAATACTTATTTTCAGTCCACAAAAATGAGTAAGAACTGTATTGATATCATGCATGCCCCATTGAGTCTAAGATAAAGAATGAGTACTTATACTATATCATTTTGAATTTTGAGCTATACAATGACTTTCGATAGTCAAAATATCATAGATGTGTTTAGTGGTATCTACATGAGTCATTACAAAAATAAAATTTAACTTTGCATAATATAAAAAATTAACAACATGAAAAATAATTTTATTTTCATATTATTTACAAAAAATATGTATAATAAAGTAATAAATAGAAATTATAAAAACATAATAATTAATATGTACATCGCTAATAAGTAAAAATTAAAAAAAGTGATAAAAAAGTATTTTTTTAACCTAGATAAAATAATGAATGATAACTTTTTTGCAAAAAATTGCTTATATATATTTTGAATCACATGGTACTTAACAATTCTATACATAATACAGTTTCAATTATGGAGAAACATCAGTTGATGAAAGAGTGAACTATTACTTTTGCATCGAGATATACAGCTTACATTAATACAAGTCCATAATAAGGCTTATAAATTCCCTCCAGATGTGAAATATAGATCCTCCCACATCACAGACCAAACGACATAACATCTATTTATTCTCTGTTCATAATGTGAAATGAATCATGTGAAATGAATCATGTGAAATCAAATGCACATGAACCGTATGTCAAAGTTGCAATAATTAAAAATTGTTTTGATGATATAAGATCATAAACTTTCACGTCTTGTCCCTAATTTTTCACAGTTTAAATATATCATTTGCTATGAAAGAGAACGTACGACCTATCATGATCAAATTGTTATACAAGAAAGTTCTAAGTCAAATCAAAAAAAATATATCCTTTTTGAAAATAGTTTCATATGTATAATTTTGCCAAAAAAAAATCTAAAATATGTTTTGAATACATTAATGTCTTCGAAATTTGTATTGAACTATCTTTTTCTTCTTTTTCTCTTGTCCATCTATATTTCTAAATAAATATGCTATTAAAAATATTTAATTGATGATTTTTGTATTGTTTCGTTGTGAGCTACAAAGATAATAACATTCTCAAAATTCATCCAGAACAAAATTTCACTGGATTTCAAAATTATCCACTAAGTATTTCAAACTAATTATCATCTGATTATTCTGTCAAAGATTTTAGATAATTTTCAAATTATACATTGGATCATGAAGCAATATGCATAGATTTTACAATACACAAAATAGTATTTTCTATCTTTCACAACAATAATTTTCAAATTTCCCAAATTTTCAATCCTTTAGCTTCATTTTTTAAAATTATGTTCATAGATTTTTCAAAAAGTTAAGAAATGATCTTGTACAATTCAATAAAATCAATGCATTTTAGTCATTTGAATCACGTGAACAATTTCAAATCATATATTTTATAGAAAAATTATCTCATTGGATGAAAATTCCAAATCAAACCTACTCATAAATTTGATTTACAATCATTATGTATATTAATGATCACATCAACTGAGATATTTTTAACAAATCAAATATCTGCTTTCATAAATTTTTCAATTGTTGTTTCAAAATTATTAATTTTTAGATGGTCAAACGTATATATATTGACTTCAATTTTTATTTTTATTTTTAATTTTTTCAATTTGACTTTCAAAATGAGTTAGAAAAATTGATTTCATTTAAAGCTCTATTGTAATCAAATAATATTCATCTATGTTTAAAATTTTATCTTTATTTTTCTGCTATAAAAAAATCATAAACAAAAAATTTAAAGAAATAAACAACTGGCATTTTTAAAATTTAGTCATGCGTATATTTATATTCATAAATGTAATGTTTTTAACATTATGAACAGAAATTTGAGCAATCAAATTATATGAATTGATTAAAATATAATTTTTAATTTGTAGTAGAATTTGTGTAAAATATAATAAGAAGTTGCTGATCGAAAAATTTCTTAATTGATTAAATAATATAGATCAACTACAAAAATGAAAATTTTAATAAAAAATAAGGTTAGTGAATGCAATACTCATTGCAGAGGATTTTTTAAAAATGATGTATCAGACATATTCAAGAAAAACTATATTCAAAACAGAAAATGTTGATAATATATAAAAATTCATTCAAGCGTGTTTTGTATTAAATGATAAAATCTACTCGTTTTTCACATCAATTTCACTTTGATAACATAGATTTAAATTCATTTTTGAAAGCTTAGAGATTTATTTATTTTATTGCATCAAAACATGCATTTTTTGGATTAAAAATTAATACATCAAGTATTTATCAACACCAAATAACGAACAAATCCAACTCAACTTTACATTTCTAACAAACTTTGAATTGAATCATTACTCATCTTAACTTACATTTTTGGATTTTCATATCATTGACTATTTTCATGTCTAATCATTTTAATAAAATGTATCAAAATATAACAGCATAAATAAATAATTCATCAATTAAAATTTCATCAATCGGTTTTCTTTTCAAATCTAATCGTTTTTCCTTTCAAATCTAATTGTTTTTACTTTCATTCTTTATTTGAAGTTGAATTTTAATTGACCACTAAAGCCATTTTAAAAACCACTAAACCCTAAACCCAAAACATGTATATTATGCATTTCACAACCAAAGTATCTATGTCTATTGTTCAATTAGTTAGTGTATGATTCTATCAACAAGCTACTACAAGTTTGACTTTATTCTTACGAATTTTAAAATGATGTTTGCATGTTATCAGCAAATGACTTTTTGAATCAAATAGGCCACATATAGATGTCCATAATATTGTGAATAAAAACTGAATCATATTACATAATAGTGAGACACATATGTTGAAACTGGATTTTTAGATATTCACGATTGTTCGTTTCTAAGCTTTATATCTCGATGCAAAGGTACTAGTACTGTTTCATCAACTGATGTTTCTCCAGGATTGACATTGTATTATATGTAGAATTTTTAAGAATCATGTGAAGAGTTGGTTCATAACAATCCTACAATTTCAATTTTGGATAGCAGTTGGTTGCAGAGGTAAGAAGATTCTCGAATAAAAAATATTCAAAATCAAACTATTTGTTACTCTAGCCTTGGAAGCATGTGAAGCTCTGGACAACAGCAAAACTACAATGTCTTGCTGCATGATGACGATGTATTTGTTTTGAAGATTATTTCATGTAAACTTTTGTGCGGTAAAATGAGTAATTTCAAGCAAAAAAATATGATCTTCTTCATGTTGCACATTCTGCTTTCTCTTTAGTTCTTTGAAAAGATGTATAATCGAGATTTACATTGGTCGGATCCTGAATTATAAATCAAGGGGGTCTGGAGAGTTTTTTAGTTTCACTTACCACAATCAATTTTCGATTATAACAAATCAGAGTACGTGTGCACATGGTTGACGATTGTCTATGTTTTCACTGAAATGGCGGTGACGTAAGTTAGGATTGTAAGGCGGTTTGGGGTTTTTGATTCCCCTATCTGTTTATGGTCGATAACTTGGGGGATCGATGTATACACCTGATCGGATCAAGACTCGACAGGGCCTACCGGAATATACGCACCGTGTCCACATTTAGATGGGGGCGTTTGCAGTTACGGCGGTTGAGACGGAGTTGAGGGGGGTACTGGAAGATGGAACTAGGGTCTTGACACAACCACAACACATGTAACTTTTTCTCTACTGCTGCGATCACACGAATATGTGGCAACTGGACCATAGGGCGTGATATGGATATAAAACAGAACAAGATACGAAGCATGAACTTCGAAGTGTGGAGAAGTGACTTTCTGCGACCTGGTCTTAGCACCCACGGGTGCCAATTTTCAGCATCATATCGAACACACCTTCTCTGCACAGAAAATAGTGTTATACGATCGGAAACCCAGGCCTCCATGCAATGGTTTAACGGCGGTATCACATATCTCACTTTAAATCTCAAATGAAATTGAATCCAAGACTGTACGTGATGCACACGCAGCTAGCGTACCGGCACGTATCCCAATTCTACCATTATTTAGTCACAAGAAGTTCATGGATAGTGGAAGATGAAATAATTTGTTTCGATCTGAATATTTCCCCTTTAGAGGGAGGTGACTGTTCTTACAAAATTGGAGGGACTTGATATCCCAGGAACCCGATGAGATCCTACAACCCAGAACGAAGAAAATGGCCGCATTGGTTTCTCTGGGGCTGTAGTAGATCTGGAGCGAAGAGAGATTCTCAAGTACTTGATCGTAATTTTTTACGACCAATTCTCACTGCGTCTGATTCGGCCGGCAAGCAATAAGACTAGCTCACAGAGTTTGTGAGTTGGTCTCGGTGCGTCTAATTTGGTCAGTGATCGAGCCGATCACCGATCAGTGCGTTTCTAATGCTCCCCAGATGAACACCGTAATTACTCACAAACAACAGCTCTCTACCTTAGACACAAACCACTTGTTACACTTCAACAGGTAATTCTCGGACTTCATCGGTGAAGAATGCTTCGCGATTCTTTGCCAAAGTCCGTTTCTTCCGCATCTGGCCCCCTCATCTAAAGGATCGAAGACCAGAGGACGGTCTGCTGCTCTTGGAGACAGGTCGGGATGGGCGTTCCCAGCTCGGAGATGTATCCTCTGAGAGCCTTCTTTTTTTTGAATGGGTGGGGCTGTCCAAGGGACGCCTGCGAACTCTGTCCGCTACGGGATTGCGTGCAGTCTCGAATTTGACGTTCGTATTGAGGACCTGAAATAAAGCGGACACGAGAATCAACCTCACGCTCAATCTAAAACTCATTGCAGCTAGGATGTCCGAGAATGCTGGCATGCGGAATGAACAATGCGGGTCAAATTTGCGCAGGCGGAAGCTTACATTGGATGGAAACAAGTGACTGATGTCCTGGAGGGGCAAGCGGGGAGCTGGTCTGAAAACGGCAGCTCTTTCCTGCACGCTCGGTGTGGCCAGCATTGGTGAATTCTCATCATTTTCCCGTCCCAAAGACTCTTCAACCGTCAAGAACAACCCTGTTCGTCCATGGAACACCTCAATTTGAAGCTCCTGCAAATCCTCAGTAATCCTGTGGTGTCCCCTGGCGTAAGCCATTGCGATGGAAAAACTGGAACTCTTCCGGCCCGATGCGATTCACTACAGCTTGATGCTGGCCCCTGCTTCGACAGGGTACCTGTGGTTTTCTGACTTTGGCATATAAGAGAATGGATGGACAGGTGAGGAATCGTGAGCTCGATCGGTGGGGCCAGTTGGGGCCGAACACTTCTTGTAGATCTACGACACCAGGCAGGGAAGCTGACTGAGCTGAGGACACTCTGTTTCGATGGGAGGCAGCAGGAGGTGAGGTCGAGAGTGGGGATGAGAGGAGGCGAGCAGCGTACGAGAGGGGGAGAGGCAGAAAGTGAGGTGGTCCGATAATCAGCTGCGAGCTGAGCTTATAAGGGCTGGACCGGAGCTCTGGGACATCAGCGCGGGGAGATCGGTTACTGGGCAGAACATGTGGGCCCTGGGGATGGTGGGAAGGCGATTTGGATGAGGCGGTGGGGGCACAGAGGGGGAATAGGTTTAGCGCGCACGCCAGAGAGCAAAGAGCTGCCGACGTCGACCCCTCCCCTACTCCCGCTCCCTTCCCCCCGTGCTGAGTGCTCCTCCTCATCGGGCGCCGCAGCTCCACTTTATTTCGAATTTTGAAACCCCACTTTCCTTCTCACTCTCTTGAAAATCCTTCTGACTCCCCTCTTCTCCCCTCCCTTGCCCACCCCAAACTCTCCCTCCTCATTGCTGAAGCGACGATGAGCGAGTGAGGGAGGGAGGCAGGCAGGCAGACAGGCAGCATTGAAACTAGTCCTATGCTCCCCTGGTCCTCCCTACACGCAAGGATCTTGCTTGGTTGTGGAAGTATCACTACCGCGAGATCCTCCTCCAGTCTAGTGGGCCCTCATTCCGCACAAGCCAGGGTCGTGCTGCAAGTCAAAGGTAGCAGGAGAGCATCGAGTGCACCATTCTCTTGTATTCTTCCCCTTTTTCTGTCCTACTGTAGGTCTGTTTTGGGCGTTGCTATCACCTGGAACTGGGCAGTTCGCATTTCCGCTCATGCAAATTAAACTTCACAGTTCAGTGAGAAAGTATTTCATTCCCGCATGGACGATGCAGTATCGTTCCACCATAACTCCTTATGATCTCATGAAGGTAAATCACTATCACGAACCATACTGAAAACTGGCTCTTGTTGAACCATATAAAATACATAAGTTACAATACAATCTATGAAATTTTCAAACGCAGAAGACTTTCAACTTGTACACGACGGGCTTAAAAACCTTGATATCGGGCTTTTTCTAATAGTACGTGCCAACTTTTTTTCCTGGTTCTAGAACTCTCTTGTGAATCGATCGGCACGTATAGGAAAAAAGAGCTGATAAGAGTATTTACGTGGAATGAATCCTTGTTCGATGCTGCTGACATGAAGGGTGCTAGAGTGAAACTGCATGGTGGCTGGGTTGAACTCAAATGAGAGCTTCTCAAGTGAGTAACTAACTGTCATGGAAAGTGAGCAGCGGAGGCATAGTACTTTCGAATTCATCTATTCGTAGCTGCCGTAGGTACATGTTGGAAGATCTGATGACTGCAACAGACAGAGCACCAACGGGGAGGGCGCACTTTCTGAGATCCATTGGTTCTTTTCGCAATATATCCCTTGAACTCCGGAAAAGTGACACGAGTACAGGACTCGCATAGTAAGTAGAGTAGACCTCACTCTGCAATTTTGTGGCGTAGCCCGCGGGTGCGGGTGCTGGACCTGAACCATTTGAAACACTTCTTGAAACTTGATAGACTGATAAGTTTCCTTGATGGGTGAACGATGCTCGATACAGTGGACCAGCCCCACACATTCATCGAGATGATATGACGTGAATGGACTCCAGCAGCTCGAGCCTCGACTGCATGGGAGGGAGTTAGTCAATTTCGGCCGACGTTCATTATGATGGCGGACATGTTTCTTTATCATTCCTTGTGTTTCCATATTCAAGACTTTGATTCTTGTCCCAACGTTTAGGCTTTACAAGAATTGTCTGCATTCTTCATATATGAATGTTCAAACTGAACCGTGGTCGTGATACGTCCATTGCAGTCCTCGGTGAGAGTTTTGACACTTTGGATGGAAGTGCCATGCGCGCACATACATGCTAATTAGTTCTCACTTTTGCAGATAATAGATAATTGAAGAAAGTCATTTTCTTTTGGAATAATTAATTGAGATAGAAGCAAGAGGAAAATGTGAATGGCGTGAGTATACATTGAAAGCTTAAGAATGCAAGGTTATCGTTACAACCAACATTTATAACGTATCAAAAAATTTATGAATATATGATAGTATTTCAGATGATCTGACGTTACAGGCGTAGATTACATGTCATTTCACATTGTACATATCAAAGATATATATGTTGTTGGTAGAGGAATGGGGATAGCACTTTAAAAAGAGAAGAGGTATCACATAGTGCACGTAGAAGTCCACCGTCTTTGCCATGAATTATCGAGCTGACCTTAGATAAATGCAAGTTAGTGATGTAACCAACTGGCTGTTAACAATAGATATTCATAAGGTACCAAGTTGCTCAATCGAGGTGCTAACTTCCCGTTCTCCAGATCGTAACTTTGGGTTATGAGTCGCAGAAAGAGTTGTTGGAGTCGAACTTCGGCTGCAATACGATTTTTTGCAAACTATCTACAAATGAAAATGTTGGGAGGAAGGAAATAATACATTAATATATACAAAAAGTGATATCCATATTCTGTTCAGTTGGTCTTCGTCTTCCATCATTGTCTCCTGGCCATAAACTCTTGAGACCAGAGCGCACTCCACCACAAAAGGACGTCAGCAGGCGAACGACCTCACTAAATACCTGGACTCCTCATCATTTCCCGGTCAGATCTCTCGCAGGCGCCATCCTCTGTCTTGCAGATCTCGCTGCTGCGCAAGTTGGAGAAATGATGCGTCCTCCAAGTTTTCCCTCCGCATTAATCCACCGGGACTCTCCTCAAGGTTCAAACCAAGCGCCACAGCCTTTCTCCCTTTTCATCACCCACTTTTCTCCAAATTATGTAATCGCACCATGTATCCATCAAGAGATGCCCATTGAAGACGTCTCCGGGGGTTCTATCTGGGGGGTTTTCAAGCGGGGGCCAACGGACGAGCGACGACGAGCTGGCTCATCGCAAGCGGAGCCATGAGTGCTGAAACTAGTCACCTTCGAATTTCAGCTTTAGCTATGGTTAGGGGATGAGCTAACCATGGGGTGCTGGAGAGGTTTTAGGAAGTTCAAAATATAAAGCCTCAAAAAGCAAAATGACAAAGATCACGAGGAGCTGGAATGTGAAATGGCATTCAAGGAGGATGAGGAGTGCTGAATGAGCATCATACGAGCACTAACTTCGCCTTTAATTTCAGATTCGAACTCCGACATCACCAAACTCAAAACTCAAAATGCATTTCAGCAGCATTATGGGCGGCAAATTAAACACTGCACCCGTTTATAGTTTTGATGTTGCTACAATTAGACGATTATGTCCACACTCTTCGCCAAATGTTTGTTCGCTTAGAACCAAATGATTCATCGGCTGGAAAAGAATGAGGCTCGAGGTCAAATTTATGTGCGTGTATCGGTCGACGTGTTCATGCAGACATTGTCTTTGCCGGAGCGTCCATGGAATTTGTGGACAGATTCCCGCTATGGCCAGATTAGGAGGAGGGGACAAAACTGTCGAGGCGAGCAGTCAGAGCCCACGGAGAGCTCAAGGCATCAAACTAACACTGGACCGACAGCGCCTTCGATAGGCTGTATGGAGGAGGATTAAATTAGACCTGCTGGCTACGACGGAAGGCGATTTTAGTTCGATCGTAATAACTGTTACGACAGCTCCCTATATATAAACTCGGGGCTCGCTCCCATGCTCCATGACTCTCTTCCCAAAAAAGCATCGAGGGAATAGAGTCCCTAGACCTGCCAAACCAGCTGCTGCATCTCCTTCAAAACTTGAAACTACTGGTCGTCCCTCCCCCTTCGTCCGCCAGAGTCTCTCTCCACCCTTTGTCCTCCTCCTCCTCCTCCATTTCCCTCCAGGGTTCCCCTCCATCAGACAAGCCTTCCATTCCTCACTGTCCCCTGCTGTTGTTGTTGCGAAACCTCTATCTACTTTCCCTCCCTCCTCGTTCTTGTTCTTCTCAGTTCAGCTCTCTCTCTCTCTCTATAGCTTGGCGGGAATGGCAAATCCAAGAACCAGATTTCCAGTAGCTGGTACTTGATCTGGAGAAATTGTGGGGTTTCAAACAGTGAGCAGCTCGCTCCTTCCTTCTTGTGCATTTGAACTGGCTGCCATTTTCTGTACGAAGTACGATAGAATCATATCCTGTGGAAATGACTGGGAGGCCTTGAAAGCAGGTGAGCCAGAGAGAGAGAACTCCCGCACTTCCTTCCAAGGGAGGGAGGGATGGAGGGAGCGAGGTTTCTTTGACCTGCGAGATTGAGTGCAATAAATGAGATGCTGCTTTTGCCCTCCAGCGGTACTTCCAGTAATGAACGGTATTCAATCTCATACTGTACATAGATTTGTTACAGTAGAATAGGTGGATACAGTTGTTGTACACCAACAACAACGGGAACATCAATGGCCAAAACATACAGTTTCCAGTCTTTCTACTATGAGGCTCCGAAGATGTAAAAATCTCTCCTGTACACGAAATAAAAGAAATTTCTCCTCTCTGTGTAGGCAAGAAAAGTTTGTCTTATTTCCAGTGAGCTATATTACGACTGAAACCCTTAAAAATGAGTCGAATTTTCAGAGAATAACATAGCACTTGGTGGCTTCGATAGTTTCGAAGTATAGTCAAAGTTACAGTTCAGTTACCCATTTTCAGCTGCAATCTTGCCAAACACAACAGAATTTCCAAACTTTTGGAACCCAACCTGGTAATGGCTTCATTGTAATCAAATGGCACATGAAGCCGAGGGGAAATTGAATGGAAGTGAGGAGCATGGGGCTAATCTAGTTGCAACATGAGCAACTCAAGATATGGACGAAGCAAAGTACTCCAGTAAAGGAAAGCAACACTCCAGTAAGTTTCTAACCTGAAGATTTGTAGATCGGAGATCATGTGAAACCGTGATATTACCTCACGTCCTGTTGAAAACTTTGTCCATGCTCGTTCCCATGTCTTCTTTGCTACGGGAATACACGTTCTCGGGATCTTAATCTTTACTCGGACACCGTTATGACTCCAGGGGAAACTTTCGAACCCACACATAAATTTCCCAATGTAAAGGTAGACCTTCACTCGTTTTAGCTGAACTTTATATTGAAATGGCCAAGTACATCATACCACCAACCCTCTGCAGTAGGATTCAGAGCTACTATAGCAACATACATTAATATTACGAGGGTCTTAGATGGATCTTTACTTCTTCTTTCTAAAAGGTACCGACTCACTTTAAACAATATCATTACACATTCTGTCATGGGTACTTCACACCGGAACAGGTTACACGATATTTTTAATTGATACGTAGGGCTAATTTGTCCTGAAAATAGGCCGAGAGCCTTTAAGATCATCTGAACTCTCCTCCACTCCCTACTGATTTTTATCCAGCCTTAGAAACTGGGTTTG